GTGTAGCTCCTGCATTGAGGTTCTGCCCCCTGGTTGTTAGTGTGTGTCATAGTGACCAGTCATTCCTAGTCATTCTGCTGTTAGGGTCAGTTTGCATATTATCCTTTTATTATATAGGATAGAGGCCTGGTTCATGGGTGGGGGCCACCGGGGCAAACCAGCCGGCCCCCACCCATGCACCAGGCTTCTATCCTATATAGTAAAAGGGTAATATGCCTCCCAGCACCGGGATCAGCGGAGCCGAGAGGCCTCCCAGCACTGGGATGCGTGTGACAGGGGGCAGTGCCCAAACCCCTGATCGCCCTGTGGCTCTGTGTGTGACAGGGGGCGGGGCCACAACCTCCTGATCCACCCTTCTCTGTTCGTGACAGGGGAAGGCGCCCCAACCCCCCTGATGGGCCCTGCTCTATGAGTGACAGGGGGCAGCGCCCCAACCCCCTGATTGGCCCTGCTCTGTGCGTGACAGCGGGTGGCGCCGCAACCTCCCCCTCGACCCTGCCTTGAGTGTGACAGGGGGCGGTGCCCCAACCCCCCAATTGGCCCTACCCTGAGCATGACTGAGGGTGGTATCGCAACCTCCCGCTCCACCCTGGTCTGTGCATGACAGGGGACGGTGCCCCAGCTCCCCAATCGGCCCTGCTCTGAGCCCGACCAGAGGCTGTACCTAGGGATTGGGCCTGCCCTCTGCCACCTGGGAGCAGGCCTAAGCCAGCAGGTCGTTATCTCCTGAGGGGTCCCAGACTGGGAGAGGACACAGGCCGGGCTGAGGGACCTCCCCTCCCCCCCGAGTGCACAAATTTTTGTGCACCGGGCCTCCAGTAAGTAAATAAATAAATAGACAAGTAAATAAGTTTGTATATTTTTCTGTGTATGAAAAGTTATTTTTAAAATGACAGATTCAGTTAAGCAAATTAGTTTTGTTATCGGGAACACTGATTCTCTGTAGAGTTATTTAAAAGTTGGATTTCAGGAGTTGGGAATTGGGATCCAAGTCCAAGTATATAGGATTTAAACCTTCTCGCAGATGTGTGTAGTAGAGCCAGAGAAGACAACCAACCAGGGGTCATCCATCTGAAATTGTAATTGGCTCACCAATCCAGGACAAAGTTAGAGATCACAACTCAAGCATAAGTCGCCTTTTCCTAACACTGCTACAAAGATGTTTGACATAAAGGCTTGGGCTGAGTATGTTGTGGAATGGGCTGCAAAGGATCCATATGGCTTCCTTACAACAGTTATTTTTGCCCTTACTCCATTGTTTCTAGCAAGTGCTGTACTGTTCTGGGAATTGGCCAAGATGATTGAGGCCTGGGGAAAGGAGCAAAAGAAAACACAAAAATGCCAAGAAAATATTGAAAAAGCTAAACAACTGAAAAAGGACTGAAGGAATGAACAGGCTCCGCAACCAGAGGAAACTCATTTGGGAAATTATGCAGCTTTGGAAGGACCCTGTAGGGTTTCTTTTCTGGATTTATGATAGTATTTAATAAACATAGCATGAGCATATGGAAGATGTTAGTTCTGACTGCTACTGTAGCAACTTTTGGGCTTCTTCATAGAAGTTTATTGACAGTTATTGTAAATTGGCATTTATTATGCTAAAAATTCTTTATAACTGACTTAGTCATTTTCCATTTTGCAGCTTAAAACATCCTGTGGAGAAAAAAATTACTTTGGATTATGAACTCTATTCAAATACTGGCTCAAAAAGGGGTCCTATTCCAGACAAAGGAAACTAAGAATGTATAAATGAGAACTGTCCTGAGGTGAAAAGTGTGCTTTGGCTTAAAAAGAGATACAGTTTATTAATTACATCTTTTATTGTTATTGCTTATGTCTTAGAATCATTTCTGGCTTTCTCAAAGCAAAATATTATTAATCAGTGAGTACTTCACTTTCTACATTTTTCTCATTCTAGCCTTTGAGAGACTGATAATTATCAGACATTCTGCCTTTTTAAAAATCTAATTTTATAAAAAATTCTATCGATTGTATAGAGTACCAGCTACTAACAATTTTGTACTTATGAACACTGCCATTTACTTGGATATGACTTGTTGAATAGAGTAGCACTGTGATTTAAAGCTTGCAGTAAAAATGCCAACCCTTATAGTACTTTGGAACCAGTTTATTCTTACTCGTGCTAAGAAGAAATATGAAGTAGTTAAAATGTCTTATCTGATAATTTGCTGATAATATAGATACTACTTTTAATTTTTATTCCATTTTTTGAACTCATGTAGTGATGTCCTATAATTTCTGATCAAATAAGCTCACAATGAAAATTAAAAATTCATTTTTTTTCCTAAGGAACTCTAAAAGAGTAAGTCATATTTCATAAATGGTAAAGAAATGCTTAACATTTGGAAAATTTTTGTTTGGTATAATAATTGGGTGAAAAAGATAAATTATGGCAAAATAAGAATGTGTTGTAATCCTATATAATAAAAGCCTAATATGCTAAATGTCCGGTTGTCCGGTCATCTGTTCAACCAATCAAAGCATAATATGCTAATGATATGCTAAGGCTGCTCAAACCACTCGCTATGACATGCACTGACCACCAGGGGCAGATGCTTCAACCAGTAGGTTATCTTGCTGCTGGGGTCCAGCCAATCGGAACTGAGCGAGGAGCAGGCCTAAGCCATCAGTTGGACATCCCCTGAGGGCTCCCAGACTGCGAGAGGGTGCAGGCTGGGCTGCGGGACTCCCACCACCACCCCTCGCCCTGGGTGCACGTATTTCATGCACCGAGCCTCTAGTTAGAAATAAAAAGCTAAAGGATATTTCCTTCAGTTAAATATAATTGGAACTTTTTACTATGAAACATGGTTTTTATAAATGCATGGTCCAATAATTTTACTCACTGTCAGTATTTAATAGCTCATTAATATTTTCCTCGTCTCTGGTAATTAATTCTAAATTACAGAAATTATCAGCTTTAATTTAAAAATGAAAGTAGATACTGATATAAAATTGGTACGTTTTTATTTTTAAAACAAAGTTGGATTTCAAACACCATGCTGCGTGATTACACTTTACATTTGTGGCTAGAACTTCAAGTGGACCTTTGATGCCACTTGGAAATCATAGCATTCTCTCCCAGACCATTCACTCTCTCATTTCTCCTACTTTTCCACCTACTCCTCAAGCCTGCTTACAACAGAGTTTCTTTTTTCCTATTTTAATGAGAGAAATGAAGCAATCAGAAGAGAATTTCCACAGCACTGCACCCAGAGACTTGACCTTTCTACCTTTTACTATAGATTATCTGTGTTTCCAAATAAGCCATCTATTTGTGCATAAGACTCACTCACCTCTGGGAACAGCATTCCAGAAACTCTCCCCATTCTTTCCTTTTTCTTTCCATCAGATCATTCCCATCAATGTACAAACATGCTGAAATGTCTTTCATCTTCAAAATAGTTCTCTTGGCACTACAACCATCACAGATTACTGTCCTTATGTCTTTGACTCCCTTTGTAGCAAAACCCCTCAAAAACAGGCATCTGCACTGGCTGTCTCAATTCCTCTTCTTCCACTCTTTTAAATACATTCTAATCAACATTTCACCCAAGCCTTCAACAATATTGTTCTTATCAAGATCAAAAAGACCTTCATATTGCTCAAATTAATGATCAGCTTTCAGTCTTTGTGTCACATGGGCAGTATTTGCTTTAGTTCATCCCCTCTCCTCCTCAATGTATTTTCTTTTTTGGCTTAGAAAGAACCTTCCTTTCTTGGTTTTACCACTATTTTGGTGGTGGCACATTCTCAGTTTTCTTTGCTGGTTCTTTCTCTTTTCCACTATCTTTTCTTTTTTTAAAAAAATCTTCATTGTCTGTCTCCTTAGGTAATGCATATATGCATATATGATCTTTGTTTAATCTCTTCCTGCTCCCTTCCCTCTGAAAATCGTCAGTTTGTTCCATTTCCATGCCTCTGATTCTATTTTATTCACCAGTTTATTCTGTTCATTAAATTTCTTATCCATTTATTTTTACTTTTAGATTAAATTGTTGATAGGTATGTATTTGTTGCCATGTTGTTGTTCATATTTTATTTATCTTTTTCTTTTTCTTCTTCTTCCTCTTCTTAAAGAATGCCCTTCAACATT